AAAATGTATGTCCTACTAGATGGGTACAACGTTGTGAAGCAGTAGTCACTTACGTGCAGAATGCCGTAACAGATGCATTAGAGGTCGCAACTGAGTTAAAAGATCCAGCAGTTTCGTCGTCAGCTTTTCAGCTGCTGCGAACGGTCAAAACACTAGAATTTCAAACATCGGTTCAAGTAAGCGCCATTGTTTTATCGATCACCATGATACTGAGCAAAAAACTGCAAGAAAAAGAAATTGGCTTGAGCGCTTCTTTTAGTTTGTGTGTTGCAGTAAAAGACGAAATGAAAATGAAGTGTGAAAATGCTGACGAAGTTTTCAATAAACTATTTACAGAAGTGGAAAAGTTTTGTATAACTCACAACATCACTTTAGCGGTCCCGAAACGAAGTAACCATCTTACAAATGTAGAAGATTATTTTCGCATAAATGTATTCATTCCCTTCTTCAAAACTTAGAATATCGCTTTTTTAATCATAATGACCTCTTATCATCCTTTAACGTACTCTTCCCAAACATACAAAGTGATGAATGCGCAAAGTTTTTAATTGGAAAATATGCAGATTTGTTGCCCTGCCGAGGAAATATAATGACAGGACTGGCCGAAATAAGTGTATGGCAAACATTTTTACATAACAAAAATTTTGGAAAGAGGATGCATGCATTGGATCTGCTTAATGTAAGGCTAAAAGCAAAAATATGTTCACGTTTTTCAAATACGAAAATTTTGTCATATATACAAAATTTTCAGCAATGCGATCCCGCTGTGCTCCCTAATGTACATTTTCTCATCAAAGTGTTATGCATTCTCCTAGTAACTACCGCTACAAATGAGAAGTCATTTTCCTCCTTGCGATTTATAAAAACTTATTTGAGAAATACTTTGGGCGAAGGAAGACTTAAAGGCCTTGCTTCGCTTTCCATCCATAAAGATATGGAAATTACGCCAGAAGAAATTTTGGATGAAATGGCGAAAATAAAAAACAGGCTTGCGCTATGAGATTGTTTTTTAAGCTGAGTTTATGACCCTTGACAAAAATTTTATGTTATATTTATAGAACATACCCTTAGTACAAATCTCTGAATTCTTGATTTTTTCTTAATAAAATTATTTGTGTGCATAGCATACCATGTTTTAGTGATCTGCTTGTTTTTTGATTCTGAAATGATTGAGTAAAACCACCCCCATAGCTCATCTCTAGCTACGACCCTGTGCGCTTTGCTCTACGGTCGCTGCATTTTCAAGAGCCGATACCTTCCTATAATGCTAAGTGTCTGCTAATTAAATTAAAATCCTTAAATAGTAGAAAAACTATCCTTTCATTGACATTTGTTTTTGATGTAGTACGTGGTGCGATTGACCCGCCACTCTTACTAGAACGTATTCGTTTTAACATTCCATCTAGAAGCCTTCGAAACCATGATATTTTTGTATTAGATCGAGTAAGAACAATATATGCTTCTAATGCGCCAATTGCCAGAGCGATGAAGGAATTTAATACGCTCAAGAATTCTGCCGACATTAATTTTTCATTACCTAAACCTAGGTTTAAGCAGTTGCTGAATGAACTAGTTTAATTGGTAATTACATTGCAATTGTTAACTGTAAATAGTCTGTAAGGAAATGTTTATGTTTTCTAGATTATAGCTGCAAATAAATAAATAAAATTATCAACACTGGTCGCGATGGTGGAAGATAAAGCCCCCACTGCGATGGAAAGACCAGTTTTGTAATTAAATCCATCGCCACGTGAAAACACATTTTTCGGATTATGACATACGTGAACGTACTCATCCCATTCAACTTATACAACAGACATATCACGTAATATTCTGTCGTATGGTTTTCGATCCGTGAACGGATGTTACGATTCGAGCCCTGTATGCTTATTTGCATAACGAAAAACAAATTTATAGGGCCCCTAAACCATACAAAATCATTGCGCAGCCCGAGACTTTTACAAGTCAATATTGTGGAAATTACTACACAATAAAATTGCACATTACTGTTCAACTTCTACATTTCTAAAGTGTTGAACACAATGAAAACGACGAGCTACGGGCCACAGCTTCCAATTTGTCATCTTCATTATCTAAACGCGTTGTGGATGACGCCATTAAATTTTTAAACGCGGCAGAGACATCATGAATTTGTATGAGTTTAACATAAAATAAGAAGAAANTTGCCAGAGCGATGAAGGAATTTAATACGCTCACAAATTCTGCCGACATTCATTTTTCATTACCTAAACCTAGGTTTAAGCAGTTGCTGAATGAACTAGTTTAATTCATTCAATCATTGCAATTGTTAACTGTAAATAGTCTGTAAGGAAATGTTTATGTTTTCTAGATTATAGCTGCAAATAAATAAATAAAATTATCAACACTGGTCGCGATGGTGGAAGATAAAGCCCCCACTGCGATGGAAAGACCAGTTTTGTAATTAAATCCATCGCCACGTGAAAACACATTTTTCGGATTATGACATACGTGAACGTACTCATCCCATTCAACTTATACAACAGACATATCACGTAATATTCTGTCGTATGGTTTTCGATCCGTGAACGGATGTTACGATTCGAGCCCTGTATGCTTATTTGCATAACGAAAAACAAATTTATAGGGCCCCTAAACCATACAAAATCATTGCGCAGCCCGAGACTTTTACAAGTCAATATTGTGGAAATTACTACACAATAAAATTGCACATTACTGTTCAACTTCTACATTTCTAAAGTGTTGAACACAATGAAAACGACGAGCTACGGGCCACAGCTTCCAATTTGTCATCTTCATTATCTAAACGCGTTGTGGATGACGCCATTAAATTTTTAAACGCGGCAGAGACATCATGAATTTGTATGAGTTTAACATAAAATAAGATGAAGAACCTTATCTGTCGCTGGAAAAATAGAAATAGATGTAATCTAGCCACAACCACAGTCGTCGCGTAGCCCTGTCGTCGCCAAAATAATTATCTACATAAGAATACGTGGAAAAATAAATCGTGTTCGTGCTATAAGCTTCTTCAGTCTGCAGGCGAATGCTTCAAAAACTAGTTCAGCAAAGGTTCAAAGTAATCGACGTAAAGCAAGACGAACGATCGAGTTTAAAATTGCAAGAGAAACAATGAAGTCTACGGACGAATTGAGCATGCGGCCTATCGTTCGAGATAGATAATAAAGCTGTTACGCTGGCGATTGCTCGATAATGGAATTTGGGAATGGAATTGATGACTTGTCCTCGAAAGTAAACGGTTACCTCTCCGAGCTTTCTCGTTTCTTCACTGCAAGGAGGGTTAGGATCCACTCCTAAAAATCCTCAGCTACGCCTTTTCACCACCTGGACGAAGGAGGGCAGACTGCAGCTGGGTATTCACGTCGATGACCTACCAATTTCGACTTTGAATAAACCGAAAATACTCGGAGTAACGTTCGACAGTCTGCTCATCTTCTCTGCGCATACAACCTCCTCAAGCCCTCAGCCGGCAGTACCTGGGGCAGAGACAAAGAAACGTTGCTGACCACATACAAGGCAATTGGCCGGCCTGTTTTAAATTACGCAGCACGATTGACTCGCCACTCTTACTGGAACGTATTCGTTTTAACATTCCATCTAAAAGCCTTCGAAGTCATAATATTATTGTATGAGATCGAGTAAGAACAATATAAGCTTCTAATGCGCCAATTGCCAGAGCGATGAAGGAATTTAATACGCCCACAAATTCTGCCGACGGAAAGACCAATTTTATAATTAAATCCATCGCCACGTGAAAACACATTTTCCGGATTATGACATACGTGAACGTACTCATCCCATGCAACTTATACAACAGACATATCACGTAATATTCTATCGTATGGTTTTCGATCCGTGAACGGATGGTACGATTTGAGCTCTGCATGCTTATTTGCATAAGGAAACACAAATTTATAGGGCCCCCAAACCATACAAAATCATTGCGCAGCCCGAGACTTTTACAAGTCAATATTGTAATACTATGTCTCCATTGTGGGATTTAATGAAGATTTAGCCCAACCAAAGAAATATTTTATAGTAATATCATGCAGAGTCTTCTCCGCTTTCTACAAGTCATTTACGCGCTGCGACAAAATATTTATAAAATTCGGTAATGGTTCTGCTTCGATAACATTGCACCGAACATCCTCTTGAACTCAGTTCGTATTCATGATATGCCAAAGGCCCACGATTGGATTTTCGGTTCCCTCCTATGAATAAGAGAGTTCTACAAAAATGTTTCTTTCCGCAAATGTTTTTTACCGTTTTGATAATTTTTCTTAAATTCGGGAAAATGATTCGGAATATGGTACCATTCTTTACACTTTCCAAACTATATATTATACATATATATTTACCACGAATAAGAAGCCAATAATATTCAGAATTCATATAATGAAATTCCGCTTGGTACCTTACTTTTATCTGTCTATATATCAATGTCCGCAACTGTATTTATAAAATCATACATTAGCAAACGTCAAATTTAAAAATGTGAACGTCAAACATATCTCGTTGTGGTAATGGAGACGGTTGTGATTTAGAAACTGAATTTATTAAATCTTAATGGATAAATCTCTCAATGGAGACATAGTATAAAAATTACTACACAATAAAATTGCACAAACCTTGTTTTTGAGAAACGTTGCTCAACTAACTATGTGCAAGAAATATGAATGTGCGTTGTATATTTTGATAGCATCAGCTTTAAAACGCAAGAAAAGAATATTAAAAAAATTATATTTTTTCTACGCTCTTATCAATATTTTACTGCACGATCTGAGCACCCAAATCAAAACTTGACTAAAAATTGCGCAGTAGTCGCTGTTAATTTCGGAATAGAGCTAGGGCTGATTTTCTGTGGAGCGGGAAATAAAAGAATACAACTGTGTTAGAAAATTGTTTATTTCTGAAATTGATGGAACTCAACTTACCACATCTGTCTTCTATAGAGATCGCCAGAAAACTAATATCCTCAGCTTACTTAAACATTAGAGAGCCTGGAGTAGTAAGCGGAGCTTTTTGACGAACGCGGTAAGTTAGGGTTGTCATTTGGCGAACGGAGTGAACATTCCGCCCGCCTTGCAGTATTACTGCGAAAAGCATAATTCACAATTTATGTAATAGATTCATAGGTAGTGGATTACAATTCAGAGGTTCATATATATACTCACATATATTAAGCGCAATTCAAAGTACAATTCATCTTAATAAACTTATCTAATACAATTTTCTAATTTAACTACATATATTACAATTAAAATGTGTTGAGGCTTGCCTAGTGAGTCACGCCTGAAATAACCCATCCTAGTAGCGTATTTTGTGCAACCAACTGTCCCGCAATGGAGGGCATCAGGCCAGGCTGTAAGAGTTTGGCGTAGAGATCCGCGCCTAGTATCATCTCAACGGGTGCTGCTTTATGGCTTGCACGGTCTGTTGCGATAACGAACGCAGCGGGGTCGGCGTTGGGCTGATGGTCTCAGTGTTAGCGCAGACGGAGAACTCTTCATGACTACCAAGATTATTACGTAGCGTGAGATAGCATACTCCACCAGCTCCACGCACTGGAGTACGGAGTCGCAGCCTTGCGACGGTAGCAGCGGAAATTGTGGTCGCCGGACTCGCGGGGCTGAGGACAGCCCGCACTGCGGTGAACCTATCCGCAGTACGTATACGTATTAACACCGTGGGTGATACCGCCAACATCTGCTGCCAGGGGAGTGCTGCTGATCGTCGCTCTATTATAGTTCGCACATTTCGTCGACGACGGGCACCTTGACCACGCCAGTTGCTACAATAGCGATATATGAGAGCCGTTCTCAACCGTATTTCGGGAGTCATTCGGCGGAATTCGGCGCACAACCGGAGAGGATGATTTTCCTTACACAGACCACAGGCGAATTGAGACATTTTCTAAAGGAGAAAAATATAGTTAGTTGAAAGAAAATCTAGTGTGTTTCGTTTGGTAAAAGAACTAGTTTGACTACTGGTCTACTTATTATACCGCGCTGTGTTTGAACGTCAACGATTCGCTCTTTGTCATCTGACCCGGGATGAATCTTTACTATCCTGCCTAATCTCCACTCGTTTGGAGGTATGTTTTCTTCGCGGATAATTACTAAGTCGTTGACACTTAGGTTTCTCTGCGGATATTTCCACTTATGCCGTTTTTGTAATTCTGATAAATATTCAGATTTCCATCTTTGGCAGAACATCTGGTTCATGGCTTTTAACTTTTGCCATCGATTGACCAACGATATGGGGTTATCATTGACTTCCGGTTCCGCTTTCGCTCCTCCATCAACCAGAAAGTGTCCTGAAGTAAGCGGTGTGAAATCACTAATGTTATCCGACATTGGACTTATGGGGCGAGTGTTTAAACATGCTTCTATTCTGGCTAGTAGAGTAGATAATTCTTCGAATGTGTATTTCATTGAAGCTGCAATTTTCCGGAAGTGGGTTTTGAATCTTTTAACTCCTGCTTCCCACAAGCCTCCCATATGAGGAGCCCCTGCAGGAATGAAATGCCAATTTATTTCCGAAAAATTACCGCTGTTGGCTATGGCTTCGGGCCATGACTATAGAAATGCCTTAAAATCTCTTTTGATTTCTCGTGAAGCTCCTACGAAGCTTGTGCCGTTATCTGAATATATGTGATTTGGACAACTTCGGCGAGAAACAAATCTTGACAGGGCTGCCATAAATGAGGCGGTTGAAAGATCGCTTGTGGCTTCAAGATGTATGGCCTTTGTAGAAAAACATACAAATACACATACATAGCCCTTTGTAATCAAACACGCTCGACCTGTGAAGTTTTTCACGTCAAATGGGCCGGTGAAATCGACACCCGTGGTTTCAAAGGGTCTCGTTATTTGCGTTCTTGATGCTGGAAGAGCAGCCATTAGTTGGGTTTGCTCCCGTTTTTTATACACAACGCAAGTTTTGCAATTGTGTATAGTGGATCTAATGAGATTCTTAGCTTTCACAATCCAATATCGCATGCGTAAAAGACGCAGGACTAGCTGGTTGCCGCCGTGAAGTGAGACCAAGTGAATAAATTTTACCATTAGTATGGAAAAATGGCAGCCATATGGCAATATGATTGGGTGTCGTTCGTCGAAGCTCATTGAAGGAGCGTTATTTAAGCGGCCGCCGACTCTCAGAAGTCCGCCGTCGTCTATGAACGGGGTCAACGATAGAATCGTGGACTTTTTTCCCGTTTAAAGAACCTAAAAATTCGAGCAATTACTCGAATGGCCCTTGAAAAGCTTGAAAAGCGTTCTAAAATATCTTCGAATGGAAGCACTGACGCTGTATGCACCCGAATAGCCTTTGCCTCGAGTGTGGTTTCAAAGTTTTCATTGTATTGGGGTTTTAACCAATTTGCTTGGCTGAGTTTAAGCCACTTGGGACCATGCCACCAAAGTTTATTTTCGTTTAACTCTTGAGGAAAGAGACCACGACTAGCGAGGTCTGCGGGGTTCTCTTCGGAGTTAACATGATTCCAGTTTTCTATTCTTGTACTTTCTGCGATTTTGGAAACTCAGTTGGCTACAAATGTAGACCACGAGCATGGTGGCTTGCTTAACCAAGCGAGAACGATTGTGGAATCCGTCCAGAAGTATAACCCTTGGTAATCTATACCCATTTGGGGCAGAAGAAAATCCACCATATTAGATAGAAGAACTGCTCCACATAATTCTAATCTCGGTATAGAGATGGTTTTTACAGGAGCCACCTTTGTTTTAGCTAGAAGCAAATGTGTTTGAACATTTAAACTCGCATCCTGCACACGAATACAAATAGCAGCTCCATACGCCTTTTCTGACGCGTCGCAAAACCCGTGAAACTGTATGTGACAGTTTGGCCTATAACTCACCCATCTGGGGATTCTTATAGAATTAATATGAGGGTAGTTATCCAGAAACGTCTTCCATTGATGGAGAGTTTTTTGATTCAACTGTTCATCCCATTTTGTTTTTTCTAGCCAAATTTGCTGCATCAGAATTTTTGCTACCACAGTAATTGGACTTAACCAGCCTGCGGGATCGAATAATTTGGCAATTGTGGACAAGACTTCTCGTTTTGTAAACGAGTCTTTGTTATCCAAAGATTTTGCCAAGAAATAAAACTGATCCGTTTTTGCGTTCCGTCGGATGCCTAATGTCTTAGCCTCGCTGGTATTGTGTATTTCAAGAAAGTCAGTAGCTAGTAGGTGATTTCTTTGCAGGCCTAAGAGAATTTGTTTTATGTTTGAAGTCCACTTTCTTAGTGGAAAACCTGCCGAGTTTAAGGCCTCAATAAGTTGGTCTCGTGCTTTAACTGCCTCAGGTATGTCATGTGCGCCAGCTAGAACATCATCCACATATGTACTAGAGTTAAGGATTTCTGATGCTAGGGGATATTTCAACTTCGTGTCCTTAGCCAGCTGCAACAAAGTGCGAATTGCCAAATATGGTGCGCAATTGAGACCGAAGGTGACCCTGTCTAACTGAAAGTCCTTGATCTCCCCTTCTAAAGAATCTCTAAAGAGGATTCTTTGATATGTGGTGTGCTTGGGGTTCACGACTATTTGTCGGTACATTTTCTCGATGTCCGCATTGAATACATATCTAAGTAATCTCCATCTTACAATTAAAATTGTCAAATCGGTTTGGAGAGGAGGATCTGTGTATAAAATATCATTTAGGCTGACTCCATTCGAAGTGGGACAAGACCCGTTAAATACCACTCGCAGCTTCGAAGTGGTGCTCTCAGCTTTATGAACATCGTGATGTGGAATTATTAGAAGGATCTTCGAATTTATCATATCGAACTTCGTGCATATGATCTAAATCCAAATATTCCTCCTTTATTAAGGGTTTTTTGCTTAGAGACGTTTCGCTTCTTAGAAATTGCCTCATCGCGATATGACGAGAAGCGCCTATATATGCCCTTGGAGGTGAATGTTTGAAAGGGAGCGAAACTACATACCGACCTTCTTCATTGCGGAAGGTGGTATCTGTATAGAACCGCTCGCACTGCTCTTCTTCGACCGTAAGAAGCTTAGTCTTTGGTACTTCTTCTAACTCCCAAAATTTGGTGAGTTGTTGATCTAGTGAGACCTCATTAAAATATGTTGAGTAAGTGGTGTTTAAGTTATTTCCACTTGTCACGGGTCCGGTTAGGATCCATCCGAGCACCGTGCGTTGAGCCATGAGAGAGCCGAGGATATTCTTCTTTATCCCATTTAAAATAACCTTTGGATAAAGGTCTTCACCAATTAATAAGTCAATATGTTGACTCTTAAAGAAGTTGTTGTCTGCCAGTGGGATGTCAGGAAGCGTTTTTAAAATAGCGTCACTGATTGAATGTGATGGCAGTAGACCTGTCAGCTTTGGAAGTACCAAAGCATCCCCCTTTATTCGGAAACCCTTGTTACGAAGGGAGCAAATGCTGAAGGTACAAACTTGCTGTACCCTTCCAGAGATGGCTTCGTTTAGCCCGGATACCTGTGCGCGTATACCCTTGCTAGGCAGATTGAGGCGCTTTTGTAGGCTTTCAGAGATAAAAGTCCCCTCAGATCCTGAATCTAATAAGGCTCTGACAGTGTATGTGTTATTTCTGTGACAAATGGTCACCATGGCAGTCCCTAGGAGCATACATCGCTTATTGTCAATAGGGCAATTGGAAGTATTTGCTTTGACGGATGCCGTATGGGACTTAGTCGACGTCTGTTCTGTATTTGAGGAAGACGGTTCTTCAATTTGCTCTCTATGAAGCATAGTATGATGCCTTTTTTTGCATTTGGCACACGTGAAACTACTCTTGCAGTCATTTATTTCATGTGCATCTGGCAAGCAGTTAAGGCAGAGGTGGTGTTTTCTCGCGGCATTAAGTCTTGCATTGGGACTCATATCCAAAAACCTTTGACAAGTTTTTAGGATATGAGTTTGCGAAGAACAGATTTTGCATCTGATATTATGCGTCTTAACGAGATGGGTATTTACTCTCTTTGTTTGCATTTGATTATATTGCTTGAAGTTGTTTGACCGATTACTATTAGCTGATATGCTGGCTTTGGGATGGACGTTAGAGTTTCCCTTGAGATCGGAAACTGTTTCAAGCGTTTGAAACCTATTGGTTAGAAATATGTCTAAGTCCACCCATTTTGGTATCTCTGTTTTTGTTTCCAGGGTTTGTTCCCATAGGGCAAGAGTATTTTCGGGGAGCCTAGTTGAACACAAATATGTGAAAACCGCATCCCAACATTCAATGTTTATGCCCTGCAGTTTTAGCGCCGAAATGCAGCTATTAATTTCGCGCTGCAATTTTTTCAGCGCTGCTCCTGAGTCTGAGGAGATATGTGGCAATTTGAACAATATTTTCAATTGAGAGTTTATAACAACTCGTTTATTTTCATACCTCGCAGTTAAATTCGCCCATGCTAACGCAACCCCATCATTAGTGAGGGGGGCTTTCTGTACTATTTCCCTCGCCTCACCTTGAGTTTTTTGATTAAGATGGACAAGTTTTTCCACCGGAGATAATCTAGCGTTGTTCCGATAAATGGCGGTAAACATGTCCCTAAAGGAGGGCCACTGTAGATAATCACCATGAAATATTTCGGTATCGCATGGAGGTAGGTGGATACTAGGCAGCACTGGCATCTCAACCATCCGTTCAGGTTGAAAAATAGTCGAGTTTGTATTTTGATTAAAGGCCGTGAGATTATGTATAAGTTCACCCATTAAAGCTCCGCATCAAACATATGCTTGGTAGCAGTTGGAATATTTGAGCTTGATGGAATCTACAGTAGCCTCGTGATCTGTATTCGTTGTATTAAAATTCGACAAACAATTTTTGTATTCAGCCTTAACTTATATATACATCGATAAATGATCGATGGACAAAGGCTTTGTAAATAAATATTTAATGAAATAATTATTGAACGTTTAGTAATGATCGAGACTTTAAAAAAGTGCAGCGTTAGAACGTTAAAATTTAAGAGAAACACCGAATTTCGTTATAAATTCTAAGCACCGGACAACTAAATATTATTTAATTTATCTATTAAATTTTTTGTGTTCTTGGACGATTAAATTGCTTTAGTTGTAACGCGAATCAGATGAGCATTAATTAAAAAAAAAAACTTAAACGAACTCCAATTTACGTTTAACAGCTTGCATTGAAACCGCACAGTATTTACCACACAGAAAAGGTGTCAGAAAAAAATCTTTATTTCATTAGCGCTTTTTATTGTATTTATCGCAACAACATACACGCACTTGCTATAAACAGTCACAACTTTAAGGGTTGGCTGTAAAGAATACACCAAAACTGCAATCGCTTCACTGTAGATATTTATTATTTTACTAATTATTATATGTACAATTCAAATTAAAAGCAAATAATTTATTTATGAACACCAATTACAAATTTTTATTTCATTTTTTGGCCGATGTTTGCCCACTGTTGTTTGGTTGCTGGGTAGACTCCCTTTTGAATGCGTATGCGCTGTTGTTGTTGTTGTTCAGCTTAACTCCCACACTGCTGCTGTGATACTCTGTGTTTTCCTTTATGTCTTTGATGTATATATATATTTTTTTTTTATTTTTTCAATTCACACGCGCGTTACAGCATATAAATACGGAAGTATTTTAGGTGTTCGCTAATCGTAGCGATAATATGTAATTTATATGTACGTACATATAAATATGCTTTATTAGTGGAAAACAAACAAAGTTGCGAATTTAGCACAAAGAAGGACGCGTGAGAAACTCTTGAATTTTCAATGAGTTAAGAGTGTTCGGATCTGTACTTTCCGGTGTTCGCGTTAAGAAAAACAAATTCTCTCGCTTTTCTCTTCCTTTTAATAAATAGTTACCGCTTTTAAAATAGTTCCGTTTAAGCTTTATCTCTTTTATTTTGTATATACATATGTATGTATGTACATATGTATATTCTACTCCAACCCTCTAAAGGCGAGTGTTGCTTGAAACTTCGCGAATTATATATGTTAAGAATAATCGACGTGAAAGCGAGAGTTAAACTATTTTATGTACATGTACATAAATAGGTGGTAAATAATAATTTTATGTACAATATGTGTACATATGTACGTATATCGGTAATGTATGTAATGGTATGGTAAGAAGCGGTATTTATTTAAAATTTTAACCAAGTATATATAGGTATTGTACTTATCGAAGTACACTAACAAAGAATTGTCTTTTGTGACCTTTAAATTTTTTTTTTTATGCAAAAGCGAGCTGCCAAAATAAGTTTCAACCCTCACTTTTGCTTAGATATTTTCTTACCGCTTTACCGTAGATGCAGAACCAATTGGTGGAAATGCACCCTTTAAAATTTAAAATTGTACCTGTTTGTTTGCAGTTGATTGATGTACGGAATTTTAAATTTTCACCAACAATGCGTCGTTGTCTTAATTTCCCTTCTTCGAGAAAATCCGGTTTTAAGGACCAGTGTTAATTTCGGGATAGCTGGGCTGATTTTCTGTGGAGCGGGAAATAAAAGAATACAACTGTGTTAGAAAATTGTTTATTTCTGAAATTGATGGAACTCAACTTACCACGTCTGTCTTCTATAGAGATCGCCAGAAAACTAATATCCTCAGCTTACTTAAATATTAGAGAGCCTGGAGTAGTAAGCGGAGCTTTTTGACGAACGCGGTAAGTTAGGGTTGCCATTTGGCGAACGGAGTGAACAATCGCCATACACGACACAAGTTATTGTACTATCTATAAGTACGGCACTGTCGTTTGCTAATCGTTGTGCACGCATTGTCTGTTTACATTTTATGGGGAAAAATTAGTGAAAAAGTGAATATTTGCATAAAAATTAGTATTTTTTGCACAAAATCTGTGGAAATTATTAAAACGTGGATAATTGCATTAAAATTCAATAAATGTGAGCGTTTTAACTATAAAATATGACGAAATTGTAAAAAGCCTCTGTGTGCATGCACAAAACACATTTCAGGAAAAGAAAAGAAGAGATGTTACTGAAAAATTATGTCTAGAATTGTTGCAGCGCAGTCTATATTTTAAAAATTGCAGGTTTTTGTAAATATTGCGCGAAAATATCAACCAGAAAAACAGGAAATACCTGCTCCAAGTGAATTTTTAGACGCCAAATGAATTGAAATATCACGACCGAGTGTGCGAAAGTATAGTCGTCACGTAATCGTTTCATCATGATTGTGACGATTAATCAACTATGATTGGACGACCAATGTGCAGAAAGCCTAACACAGGCATGAGCAAAATATCAAACTGATTTTGATTTGAGCGCAATAACTGTGATTAGTACAAACAACCCCATACACCACACAAACGATCTATGAAAGCCCGATATTGCGCAATGTTTTTGGTGATTTTGGGGCCCTATAACAGCAGCGTGTGCAAAGAAATTCCGGGTTGTATTTCCCTTATAAGAGTTACAAAATCCAACTTATAAATATCTACATATAAAATTGTAAGGCTTTAAATAACAAGAAAAAAATTACTTGCCTATAAACTGGTAATAGTATTTGAAGTTTTCAAAAATTAAATTTTGCCAGCCAAATGTATCAAAATGGGGCATTTGTGAACAAAAAATTATCAAATCATAAAATTTTTAAAAAATAGTATCAAAAATTATACAATTGTATCAAAACGGCAACGCTGTTTACGAACCAACTGAACCCTGCAAAGCATGAGCATGGTTCCGTAAAGAGCACAGCACAACAACGGCACTTAACGCCATCAACACCCAGATAACACGTGGCCTTAACCTCGACCGCACCTGTGAGAGAACTGTTTTAGTAGCGTTAGATCCGTCTAAGGCGTTTGACACCGTCAGTCACTCCAAGCTACTAGAAGACATAGAGGACTCCTCTCTCCCACAAGGATTCAAACGGTGGTCGGAAAATTATCTGAGTGGTCAACATTCGACAATAATGTTTAGAGACAAATTGAGCAAACCCAGGGTTGCCAGGGGGTTCCACACGGTGGTGTCCTTTCCTCATTACTGTTCAACTTTTATATTTCTAAAGTGTTGAACACAATGAAAACGACGAGCTACGGGTCACAGCTTCCAATTTGTTATCTTCATTATCTAAACGCTTTGTGGATGGCACCATTTTTTAAACGCGGCAGAGACAGCATGAATTTGTATGAGTTTAACATAAAATAAGATGAAGAACCTTATCTGTCGCTGGAAAAATAGAAATAGATCTAATCTAGCTACAACCACAGTCGCCGTGTAGCCCTGTCGTCGCCAAAATAATTATCTACATAAGAATACGTGGAAAAATAATTCAGCAGTTGTGGTCCGTACCTCGTCATTTTCATTGTGTTCGTGCTATAAGCTTCCTCAGTCTGCAGGCGAATTCTTAAAAAAGTAGTCCAGCAAAAGTTCAAAGTAATCGACGTAAAGCAGGACGAACGATCGGGTTCAAAAGTGCAAGAGAAACAATGAAGTCTGCGGACGAATCGAGCATGCGGCCTATCGTTCGAGATAGATAATAAATGTGTTACGCTGACGATTGCTCGATAATGGAGTTTGGGAATGGAATTGATGACTTGTGCTCGAAAGTAAACGGTTTCCTCTCCGAGCTTTCTCGTTTCTTCACTGCAAGGAGGGTTAGGATCCACCCCTAAAAAATCCTCAGCTACGCCTTTTCACCACCTGGACGAAGGAGGTCGGACTGCAGCTGGGTATTCACGACGATGAGGTACCGCAAATGTCAACAAAGTACAGAACCGCAACAAGGTCCTCAAGCCGCCAGCCGGCAGTACCTGGGGCAAAAACAAAGAAACGTTGCTGACAACATACAAGACAATTCGCCGGCCCGTTTTAAATTACGCAGCACCAGTGTGGTCGCCGGGGACCAGTTGGAGGATATGGAAGAAGCTGCAGGCGACCCAAAACACAGCACTCCGGACAGCGACCGGATGTCTTCTGATGTCGCCAAAACATTACCTGCATGGCGAGGCGCAAATGCTCCCCATAAGGGAGCACAAAACAATGCTCTGCAAGCAATTCTTTGTAGGGAGCCACAGACGTGGACACCCGAACAGACACTTGCTTGCAGAGGAGCCCTCTCCAAGGCATATCAGAAGGTATCTATACGAACTGACGGACGAAGTCCAGAGGTTCATACAGCAACCGCTGGGCCCGACAGCATATCGACCGGCGGCATTCACAGAGATTCCAGACCTGTGAATGCGGTCCTGAGCACACGACCACCTGACGTGAACGAGACGGAGCTTCGTCTGCCTCTTGAGACTCGGACCACAATAGCCCAGCTTCGCTCTGGCTACTGCAGCATGTTGAACTCATACTTCAGCAGACTAGATGCGGATGTGCCAAATGAGTGTCCGACATGCGGAGAGATACCCCACGACTCGAAACATCTCTTCGCATGCTCCCAAACCCCTACTCAACTGACGGCTCTGTCCCAAATATATATGCCCAAATGTTAGCTGATTACGCTCAAGAAATGGTTGTGCCATGAACAAACTAACAAGATCACCTAATCGAAGAAGCAAGAAAAAAACATATTTCTGAAAATAAACAAAGGAAAATGAAAAAGGTACGGAGGTTGAGTAAGATTGTATTGGCATTTATTATAAAATATAATAAGTGAAACTGAATAAAAATGATGAAAAGGTATTCACAAAATATGGTTTTAGTGATAGAAAGTGTTTCGCAACCACGTAGCACAGCTCGATCTTTCAATGTCAACGTTCTGATCGCAAAAGTGAACCCAATTTTCACGCAAATTTACTCTTCTTGGCAAACTAAACCAACGCGCAAACTTGTTCCAATCACAACCACTTCATTTGTCAATGTTATTGTGGCTTGTTAACATTTTATTTTTTAATATTTTTATTGAGCTTTGTACCACGATTGTTTATTAGGAAAAATTGAAAAAGCAACGAAGTCTAAGCGGTAGACTTCAATTCATATCGGCTGCGTTTCTTTATACATTCCAGATAATCCCATTTCACAGCCAGAATAAACAGAATGCGTTTGAAATATACGTTAACATATCATCAGGAACGTTCTAAAGAATAAGTAAACAAAAAAATTTTATTCCAAACGTTCAGAACGAATAAAGAAATGCAGCCATCACAAATTTGTGATAAATCAAATTTATAATTAAAATCTAAACTAAAAATATCAAAAATGCTACGTTTTAGTTCTTTATACAGCCCTGTTCTGCAGTCCGATTCGAATCAGAATCGGATTTGTTTCCGATTGTTGGTGTTCTGCATCCAGAGAGTCGGATATTATTTCCGATTGCGCCTTATTCTACAATTCGATCCACTTCGAATCGGAATGCTATCGGAAATTTGATGTTCTGCATTCCGAGTATCGCAAAATTTTTGTCGGAATTATTCCGATCAAGTAAAAGCCAGTGGAATAGCAAAAGAACAAAACTAAAATCAACAAGTAAGAAAGTCTAGGTCAGGCGGAGCCGAACATTAAATACCCGGCGCAAGTGTTAAATATACGATTTAAACTTTTCCGAAAGCTACTGCTACATGGCAAGCCAGGGTGTATAAATTTTAATTAAATTTGCGCCCTTAAATTTCGAAATATTGAAGTTTCAAGCATTTCTGAAATTTACCGCTATACGAAATGCGGCCTCAATTTTAGTACGATTCCAATAATTTTTAACGTTTTGCTTTTATGTGGCAACCACAATAATCATACCGAGTTTGGTACAAATTGGTAGAACGGTTAACGACCCTACAAGAATTGTGTGATGGAAACTAACACATTCTCATTTATCTTACTAACGCATTTACAAATTTTGCGTTGGTTAAAAAGAGACCCCTAAATAAGGTCATAAGTTGGAGGAAGAAGGAAGATCACATGTACACAAATGTTTACATCACATTTTGCATATTGCTCTTAAAAAGTTGATAGAAGTTCTTGATTGAGATCTCCATCACCAGTGATTATCACATGATCAATCAAATGACTATCACTGTTCTTGTAGGGGGATACATATATGTGATCATAAGTGGAAGTTGCCCGCCCATTTTCCAAAATTTTATCGTAAACGTATTTCTTGGTAAAGAATTTTTGCAAGAATCAATTTTTAATAAATTAGCTTTAATATTTACTGTTTTATCGAAGATTTTGTATTTCTTCAAATTACCGTTATATGGGATGTAGGCGCGGTTATTGTCCGATTTTAAAAATTTTCGGCCGTTTGATATGCTGTAGCAAAACTAACAACTGTACCAAGTTTGGAAGAAATTGGTGTACGGGTTACCAAGATATACACATGTAACCATAAGTGGGCGTGGCTACGCCCATTTTCCAAAAATGTATAACGTTCTTATTTTTCGTCTAAAAATTATTGTAAATATCAATTTTGAGTGAAAAATCTTCAGTAGTTACTAAAATATCGCAGTTTTCGTGTTTCTGAAAATTACCGTTATATGGGAGGTAGGCGTGGTTATTGTACGATTTTGCCCATTTTCAATGCCATCTTTCCACGCCCGAAAGAAGTGCACGTACAAAGATTCGTTAAGATAACTAAATTTTTACTCGAGTTATCGTGTGCACAGACGGACGGACGGACTGACGGACAGTCACCGCTTAATCGATTTCTCTTTTCATTCTGATCATTTATGTATACATTTGTCTTTATCTATCGATTCGTTTTGCCTGTTACAAACAACCGTTATATGAACAAAGTTATAATACCCTTGTGCACAAGTGCGGTCGGGTATAAAAATATAAATGTAAGTGATCAAAGGAACATTTTAAACTTTAGAGAACAACAAAAAATGTACGTAAACGAATTAAAACTGGCAATAGTTATAATAAAAAAAACAAATTAAACTGCGACAGCTTGAGTTGGAGCTAGAGCGTTTCAAATTTGAAAATAGTAAAAAGTCTTATAATGTTATTTTATTACGTAAATTGTTTATTGTTTAATTACAAAACTCGTTTTAATTAAATAGGGGTAATTTTATTCGCAATTTCGTATCCAATTATTTGTGCTTCACTTTTCAAATAAATTTCTGTTAGTGAAAATCTAACAACTTCACTATCTACATACTTCGCTATCGTTTTCTTCAACTTCTTCATAGGGCACTGTCACACGGTCAGTATTTATTGACGTGATCCACGTATCGCGAATTTTATTGACGGTGTAGCATGCAGTATTGATGGATTGTGATCCATATCGCAAAATTTTTAAAAACAGTTTTCCCAATGCTAGGGAGTCTATTTAGAGCTTTACAAGAATTAAACTTTTTCTCGTTTCGCACTATGACTTACATTAGAGGCACTTAGGTATATTAAATATAAATTTCGCTTCTTATAGTTTTTTTTTTAAATTCTTAACATTTAAACCTTTTCCAAATTTAGAGATCTTTTTTGTTTTTAATTAAAGGACTTCATTTTTTACGTTATCTTGTAATTTCATTCGGTTTTTTTCACTTTTCCTAAGGTTTCTCAATATTCTCGTTCTCAGAATTTTGTTCTTTTCAACTAACTTTATTTTGACTATTCTTTTTTTTTGTTTTTTTTTCTAAAACTTGAATTTTCACACTTTTCCAAATTGCATATTTTTTATGGTTTTATGACTTTTCTCTCAAACTTTGCTAGCGATTAGCGTCACTGATTCCTGGCAACAATAAATACACTGTTTTTCCCAAGAGGTAGTTTGGCAAGGAATGTAGGGGCTTGTTTCGGGTTCTTCCCTCTTGGAAGAAAACTCTTACAGCTCTACGCCCAGGGAAAGTTGCGTTTTTCGTGCGAACGGCGGACTCCGACAGTTGTTGTAACCGTAGTTGGGGAGGGAGTTCCAAGCGTCCTCGATCATCAAATGGCCAAGGTGGGCATCTACATGGTAACAGTACCGTCTCCCAATGCAATGGGATGTCTAAAAATACGTACGCCCACACCAATGCGCCACAATTTGGGCTTCTTCGGTTTATATTCGAAGAGGCGGTGGTGTGGGGTCTGACTATGCTGGTTGAATTTTAAGTCTACCAAATGCACTGCCGGAAGAAATGAAATATAAGAACTACGGCTCCTGATGGCCCTTGGCTTTCTATTCGTACCTTGTTGTTTTGTTGCAAAAATCAATAATAAATCCTTTAAAGGATCTGCTCTTAAAATTCCAAAATGGGCACGTTGCGTGGAACTCTGCTGAACGCAAGGAAGACAACTTGTGGTTATAAATTCAAGCGGTAAAAAGGCCGAGTGTAACCGCAAAGCGTTTATATACTCAAGTTTTCCAGTTCTAGATCATTCTTTGGAAATGAGCAGTGCTCTTCTTGCATTTTCTGTGTAGTTAGAAGTAGCATCTTCTCAAAGCTCGGGAACCTAATTTAGAAGTNCTGAATAGTACCCATTAACCTACCCACTAATGCCTGGCAATGCCATTGATGGGCAGCACTGCAATACGATATTGCATTGTCAGTACAAGTGACAGCTGGTCTGTTCGATCACAGCCAAGATCTGTGAACGAACAGAACAACCATCTTGACATTCATATTCGTGCTTTCAACCCTCGCGCTTGTGCTAAATTAGCAGAAAAGTTTAAAGTTTTTTTAATTTGATAAAATAAACGTTTCTAAGCCGTAAGTGGCTTCAAATGAATCATCTGCGTATATTTATTGGTTATACACTCAACGAAAGGGGTAAGCTGCACTTTTATGTACAACAGAGGTTGTTACACCAGCCGGGTGTTTTACACCAACGTACCAGCGCGAAATACATAAAAAGTACGCCGCGAGGCGTTCATCATCATTTTCTTCATCCCGTAAGTTAATTCTATTACAATGTACACTGAGAGAAAATTATGACACCAACAGACGGAATATTAGCGGGAATCAGCTACGAATGTCTTTGGCATGATAAGTACCAATTTCCTTTCCTTGTAAGTCTTCTAGCTGATAGTAGCAGCTGCCAAGCTTCTTCCGGATTCTGCATTTGACAAATTGTGAACCTAGTTTGGCATTGAACTTTTCCGAGAACTTACTAAGAGCGAAGTTACGACGGTATACTTCTTGGCCTTCTTTATAAGAGACAGGTTTTGAACGTAAATTATATTGCTTAACGTTTTTGTCGTATGCCTTGCGTATGTTTGCTTGTATATCTTTTCTCAATAACGCTAAGTTATCTGATCGGGAAAGGGGTACAATGGGCTCTTCAAGCAAGGATAACTCCTTCAGTAGTTTGTAGTCTGACCCATGAGTAATCATGTCCAGACCAAATAAGGCTCGATACGGTGAACATCCTAGCGATTGATGAAGGGCGGACCTCAAGGAACAGGATATGCTTGAGAGATGTAAATCCCATTCAGACCGGTCCTTTTTCAAATACGAACGAATCGCGGCTAATAAAGAACGATTTACGCGTTCGGCAGCATTGCTCTGCGGCGAGTATAAAGCAGTAAACACCTGTTTGATACCTAATTCGGTTAGGAAGGCTTTGAAGTCATTAGCCCTGAATTGGGTTCCGTTATCGCTAACAAGGGTTTCGGGAACTCCAAAGCTATGAAATACATTCTCTAGAAGGAATTTTTGTATAGCAGCAGAAGTAAATTTTTTTTAAAGGTTGAAGCCAGTGGTACTTACTAAAATGGTCAAGGACAATGAGTAAACCTATATGCCAATTTTTACTACGAGGGTATGGTCCTAACAGATCAATATACAACTTTTGGAAAGGTCGACAAGTAGGGATATGAGCACCCATTGGAGGACGTAAAGTGATATTGGGAGCTTTATTCTCCTTGCAGATCTCACATTGTCGAATATACTCGCGTACATCCTTCGCCAAGCCAGGCCAGAAAAGATAACGACGTAGCTTCTCGATTGCCTTTTGTATGCCTGCATGCGAAGACGTGAGGCTGTCATGACCTTGCTTTAGGGCTTCATTTTTGAGCCTCTCTGGAACCCATAGCTTCCAAGTGGATTTATCCTCGGTACCATCGCCAACAGCGTGTTCGGTTCTAATATACAAAAGGTTATCAACAATTTTTATATCAGGAAATTTTTCAGGGTTTTCACTAAATTTGTTTTTAAGTGTTACGTAGGCCTCGTCTTGAAAAGCGTCTGATTCAAGATCTATTATTGGCCTCATATCTAACTCTGATATTTCATTTTCGCATAGCCGTGATAAGGCATCGGGAACGATATGTTCTTTTCCTTTGCGATGTGATATACAGAATTTAAATTGCTGTAACCGAAATATCCATCGAGCAAGTCTACCCGAAACGTTTTGCTGCCGCATTAGCCAAAGCAGGCTGGAATGGTCTGTTACTACCTCGAACTCTTGGAGTTCCACGTAACATCTGAACTTTTCAATAGCAAGTATTACGGCTAAGCATTCACGCTCGGTGACGCTATAGTTGCGTTAAGCTCGGTTCAATTTCTGGGACATAAAATCTATAGGCTTTTCTTCGTTTTCGTCGGACAATTGAACCAGAACAGCACCAATGCCAAAATCGCTGGCATCACAATGCAAATAAAATTTCTTTTCAAAATCAGGGTTTGTTAAAACGGGGGCCGATGTCAAAATTTGTTTTAATTTGTCCATCGCATGTTGAGCTTCCGGTGTCCATTCAAACTTCTTTTTTGTGGATAACACTTCCGTGATTGGGTAGGTGAGGCCGGCAAAATTGGGAATGAAGCGACGGTACCATCCACAAACTCCAAGGAATCCACGTACTTGCTTCAGGTTTTTAGGCGAGGGCCAGTTTAAAATGCATGAAACTTTAGTGGGGTCTGTACGAATACCTCCGCTACCAATGATATAGCCTAGATAGTTAATGCTTGTGACACAAAATTGGCTTTTGTCAATATTAAGGGTTAAATTTGCTTTGCGAAATTGCTCCGCTAAACGAACTAACACAGTGAGATGTGAAGAAAAGTCTTCCGAAACAATGCAAAGGTCATCGAGATAACCGAAAACGCAATGTCGAAGATCGGGTGGAAGGATTTCATCCATCAGGCGGCACATAGTAGACGGGGCATTGCATAGGCCAAATGGCATTACCTTAAATTGATAAAGTGGTCGTCCCGGGACCGTAAAGGCGGTCAACGGCTTTGATTCGGGACTGAGCTCAATTTGCCAATATACATCTTTAAGGTCCAGTTTGGTGATTATATTAGCGCTAGGTAGTCTCGAAAAGATTCCGTCAATACTAGGTAAAGGATAGGCGTGCTTTTTTGTGACTTCGTTAAGTCGGCGGGCATCCAAGCAAAGTCGAACGTTGTTGGGCTTAACAACGAGACGCATGGGAGAACTCCAAGCACTTACCGACGGTTCAATTACCTCCAGTTGGAGCATACGATCGATTTCGTTATAAAGCAACTTCTCTACAGCCGGACTTACGGGGTAGAAACGCTGTTTCACAGGCTTTGCCTCTCCTACATCAATATGATGTTGGATAAAGGTGGTACGTCCTAAACCTTTAGTAGCATTCGGGAACAAGTTCTTAACGACTTCTAACTGCTGAATTTGTTGCTGACTCAAAGGGTACACGTTTTCGGTAGTTCCAGTTGAGTCCAAAGAGTTCTCTAGCGAACTAATAATGTTCGGTGCAAGTGAGAAGGTTCTCCAAAAATCGTGACCTAAGATTAGTTTCTGTTTTATGGAGGGTATAACGTACAGTTTCATTGGCCTTTTGACTGTTTTATAAGTCATCAGAATCTCAAGAACTCCTATAATTTTCTGTTCTTCACCATCTGCTGTTCTAGCTTGTGAGTTTAATGCTTTAAATTGAGGTATCTTGGAAAAATCTTCTGTTGCAAGTGAGGAACCGATGCAGCTTATATTTGCTCCTGTATCCAAGAGACCAAGTTCTTTATACGTCAAGAACGAGACTTCAGCATAGCTGCGCATATCGTTCTGGTTACTAAAAATTGTGGAGACTAAGAGTTTTTGGTTTCTCTTAATGTCGTCATAAAAGTTTTGTAAGCGCAACGTACGCTTACTCAATTTAAGAGGAATATCCTTAAAAATACGATTTCTAACGGCTAAATAGTGATTAAGCCTTTCTTCATACGATCGACGATAAAGGGGAACAGGGTTAGGGGTAGGTGGTAGCGAATTTATTTTTTCAACCAACTCTGGCTGTTTTACGCTTTCGGGCCCATCCGGCTGGCGTTGGATGCACCCGTTTGACGGTTTTCCGATAATTTTCGGAGACAAGCTGTGCACTGTGGCTTAGACATTCGGAGTCCCACATCCGTAGCAAAAAATACGACGTTCGGCCAAGCAGTTTTCCCAAATGTGACCTAACTTCTCACAGTTCCAACACTTGGTTTTCGAGTGGCTACTACGAAGAGATGCCAACTCTCCTCCAATATCTACCTCTTCTGTTGGTTCATGACAAGCGTCCTCCAGGGCATAGACTTGACGGCGATTGACTGCTCTTCTCGGTTTGGTAGCGCTATCTGCGCGGCAACTGAGCTCCTTTTCTAAATTCTCACTCATGTGTACTAACCTACGTAAATGTCCAACTGAGTGTACTGGCTGATACAAAAGCTTTTCGCGGGTTTCAGGGAGCAAATTGTTTTTCAAAATCTCCATAACCTCTTCTTCGTCCATTTGAACGCTGGACTTATCAATCAGTGATGCGACGGCATCATAAAAAGAGGAAAATGATTCCCCAGGCTTTTGCTTACGCGACCTAATCATCTCTTTGCTCATAAAAGCGGAGCGATAGTCTCTATATTGCTGCCGGAGAGAAGCGCAAATATCTGACCAAACTATCCGATCTACTTGCTTATGGTACCGCCAGTACCAGTCTCTTGCTTTTCCAGAAAACAATATATGCATGTGCTTACACATGGCGGTGAAGTCGCTATCTAAGGTTTCGTCTGTCAATGATTTGACCCTATATATAAACTCTTCTACTCCTAAGCCTTCTGCGGATCCATCAAAGTGTAAACTCCACTTTTGCTTGGTGTCAGCTGTCTTTCTATTAAGCGTGGAAGATGCCAGCGAAGCAGGAGTGCCACGAATAGGTATAGGTTCAGCATGGGTATATGTCGGGCTAGAACTGGGTTGAGCGTTCTGACTTACGCCCATGTTCAAGTTTGCCATAACTCTAGTCACAGTTTGTTCAATCATTTCTTGTAAAATTGTGTAGTCAACCGCGTTACCTGGACGAGAATTTCGGTTTCGAGTAGTTTTACCTCTCCTTCTAGTACCTGTGTCTCTAGGAGGAGCTTCAGCTTGGTTGGTGCTTTGACTAGCATCCAGGGCGGATGACGCTGCGGCGCTCGCATCCAAACCACGAGTATCTTGTGTCTCGGCAGCAGTTGCTGCTTGAGCTTGATTTAAAGCCTTAGTGCGGTTTCGAGTCATAACTCTTTGACCTGTAGGGGCAGAATTGGTCATACTTGGCTTGGATCCAGGCGAGCAATTGCCGACAACTATTTAAGGTCTGGTTGGTTAATAGTTTTGTTACAAATAAAGCAATTATCATGCTCTGCCAGCCAACCTTCTAAGCAAAGCTTATGAAAGACGTGTTTGCATTTCAACAAATAACAGGGATGGGTATTATTTATCTCTTGTTTACAAAGAGCGCATTGAGTATTGGTCACGGAACCTGACGGTGAAACTTGTCCGGGACTGTGTTCTACAAGCATGATCATGAAAAAATATCCTGGTTCGACATAAGCTGACGATACAACAGAGGTAAGACAAAAAAAAAAAAATCAATAAGACACGATAAGTAGGATGAAGGGCGTTTTTTTTTTTTTTTAATGAGCTATTGAATCTATTAGAAAAACGGTAACAGATCATTTTACTGCAGCTATATGACTCAAATTATTCGGCATGTGTACGCACATGGAGCATATGCACAAGTTCCAGACAACAACTTCACCATACCTCTGACAGAAAACTATCTGTTCAAATATTTGGTCTCACCAAAACTTCCTAAGCTAAACGAGAAAAAATGTATCGCAGGGACATTCAGTATTGGCATCCGATCTCAGCCAAATGCGCAATATTCTGGAAATGTGTACGACAGTATTAAAATGTCTTTGCTTAAGAAATTATGATTTCTCCAAAAAAATTGAGCTAATTTTGTGCGAGAACAATTCCAAGGATAGTAGCTGAAAATTGCTATCAAAGTTCGGATTTAAGCTGAGTCCCAACCTAGCCATACATGCTTCTCGGCATGGTATCCAGGCAGAATAACCAGCATCGTAGATTGTTGACTAATTAAGTACTCTAGCATCAAGCCTGCGGAAGTAAGACTGAGCTGATCTTATCATCGTCAGCAACTATGATACTAACTCCAAACTAAGTGTATAAATCTCACTACAAACCGGAAATGTGCTACCACTAACGATGGTTCAAACTCTTGGAAAGTTCGGTACTGCAACTACGTTCCAAGCAACGTGAAAAAAAAGAAAGCAGTCTTAATATGTACTAACTGGGATATCACCAAACCGTTAGCGGCCCCACGTTGGGCGCCAAAAATTTTTGTAGCATCACATGGGTATGTAGGTGGCTGTAGATTCCCCTAAATGCAGTTGAAGCGTCGCGGCGGGCGGAATCCTCTGGTGCCTTAGCTCGTTTGGCATGGGGTGGGTTTTTGCCCTCCTTCAACTGGGTCCACGTAAACTGTAATTATTAGGATTCCTAACTGAAGCTAATTAACAACAACAAAATTGGAAGCACTACCAAGGTACGACAAGACTATGAGAAAGCAAAATTGGAGAAAGCAGACACCCTTCTAACAATCGTGCTTACCGATGGGCGAGGTCTAAGGTGGCAGTCGACACTCGCTTTCTTACCCCTACCCAACCATGACCTTCTATTACAAAAAATTGTGAAGATCCCCTCTTACGAACACTTCTCCTTCCTCATTATGTCATCAAATGCCGCCCAGGAAAGTCAAAAATTTAATCCATTATGTAAACGTTAAAACCTCATTCCATATGCTTATTCATTCTAGCAAAACAACAATAAAAAAATTACACTACCACTAAAAATTACTTAATTTAAGGAAAAGTGAATCTCTTTTTCTTAACGGTAGTTTTCGGGTTTTTTTTTTTTTTTAAGGCTTTACTAACCCAAAAAATTCCTGGATCACAGTTGCTACTCACTGTATCACCTTACTGCGCAGGCCCAAGCCAATTAAGCTCTACTCCATAAAGCTCTACACCCAAGGCGGGAAAGTTGTAGCAACTAGGTATATACATATGTCTTATCCTAACAGCTAAATTCACAAAGGCTTTTCTTTTTGTGATAATAATCTTAAGAGCAAGCGATACCCAAAAAGAGGAGAGAATGTGTAGATAGGTAGGTTGGTATAAAAAAAATCAAAACGGTTTGCGCTTACAAATCTATTTACTTGGGTACATATTCATCGACATATGCACACGCTCATGCACCTAGCGACCGGCGCTTTCGCACAGGTATATAGCGGGTAACATAACGATCAACATAAATCTTCTCTTTGGGTCCGCTTAAGCGAAATGGAGAAAAATAAAAAATAAAAAAATATATTCACTTACATGTACATATGTTTGCTTACAGCTCCAGCGTTGAAAGGCCTTCCAGCGTTGCAGATGCAGTTTTCCCAATGCTAGGGAGTCTATTTAGAGCTTTACAAGAATTAAACTTTTTCTCGTTTCGCACTATGACTTACATTAGAGGCACTTAGGTATATTAAATATAAATTTCGCTTCTTATTGTTTTTTTTTTAATTCTTAACATTTAAACCTTTTCCAAATTTAGAAATCTTTTTTTTTTTAATTAAAGGACTTCATTTTTTACGTTATCTTGGAATTTCATTCGGTTTTTTCACTTTTCCTAAGGTTTCCCAATATTCTCGTTCTCAGATTTTTTTATTTTCAACTAACGTTATTTTGACTATTTTTTATTTTTTTTTCTAAAACTTGAATTTTTACACTTTTCCAAATTGCATATTTTTTTATGGTTTTATGACTTTTCTCTCAAACTTTGCTAGCGATTAGCGTCACTGATTCCTGGCAACAATAAATACACTGCTTTTCCCAAGAGGTAGTTTGGCAAGGAATGTAGGGGCTTGTTTCGGGTTCTTCCCTCTTGGAAGAAAACTCTTACAGCTCTACGCACAGGGAAAGTTGCGTTTTTCGTGCGAACGGCGGACTCCGACAGTTGTTGTAACCGTAGCTGGGGAGGGAGTTCCAAGCGTCCTCGATCATCAAATGGCCAAGGTGGGCATCTACATGGTAACAGTACCGTCTCCAAATGCAATGGGATGTGTAAAAATACGTACGCCCACACCAATGCGCCACAATTTGGGCTTCTTCGGTTTATATTCGAAGAGGCGGTGGTGTGGGGTCTGACTATGCTGGTTGAATTTTAAGTCTACCAAATGCACTGCCGGAAGAAATGAAATATAAGAACTACGGCTCCTGATGGCCCTTGGCATTCTATTCTTACCTTGTTGTTTTGTTGCAAAAATCAATAATAAATGCTTTAAAGGATCTGCTCTTAAAATTCCAAAAAGGGCACGTTGCGCGGAACTCTGCTGAACGCAAGGAAGACAACTTGTGGTTATAAATTCAAGCGGTAAAAAGGCCGAGTGTAACCGCAAGAGCGTTTATATACCCAAGTTTTCCAGTTCTAGATCATTCTTTGGAAATGAGCAGTGCTCTTCTTGCATTTTCAGTGCAGTTAGAAGTAGCATCTTCTCAAAGCTCGGGAACCTAATTTAGAAGTTAGTACGAGTTCAAGCTCGGCTTACAACTCACTTTATCGCAGGCGACATCTTGCGTCGGAAATGGTAGGCGATAAAGCACCGAGAAAAAGCTAAGCATGTACAGTGAGAGAAAATGACCATTACAAATATAAATGTAAGTGATCAAAGGAACATTTTAAACTTTAGAGAACAACAAAAAATGTACGTAAACGAATTAAAATTGGCAATAGTTATAATAAAAAAATAATAAAAAACAAATTAAACTGCGACAGCTTGAGTTGGAGCTAGAGCGTTTCGAATTTGAAAATAGTAAAAAGTCTTATAATGTTATGTTATTACGTAAATTGTTTATTGTTTAATTACAAAACTCGTTTTAATTAAATAGGGGTAATTTAATTCGCAATTTCGTATCCAATTATTTGTGCTTCACTTTTCAAATAAATTTCTGTTAGTGAAAATCTAACAACTTCACTATCTACATACTTCGCTATCGTTTTCTTCAACTTCTTCATAGGGCACTGTCACACGGTCAGTATTTATTGACGTGATCCACGTATCGCGAATTTTATTGACGGTGTAGCATGCAGTATTGATAGATTGTGAGCCATATCGCAAAATTTTTAAAAATTTTGAAATCTGGATCTCGGATCGCAATACGGTCAATAAATATTGAACGGGTAGCACTTTCAAAACGCGATCCATACATTTCGTCAGTACATCTTTTACTCTCATAACGCGAACATCGGCTCTGCCTTGGCTCTCGGGTCTTAAAATCTTTCAAAACAAATTTTAATTAACGTTGGAAATTTTAAAATAATTGTGGAATGCATTATCTGTAAATTATACATACAAAATAAAAATATTTTCGTTCGTGCGCTATCCATCAATCCATCAATATGGATCGCGATCCAAATATCGTGATAATTACTGACCGTGTGCCAGAGCCCATAGTCAAATTCAGGACTGTAGTGGAGAAAAATGTTGTGCAGGCAACACATCTGTTAATTATTATCACAACCATGATAAAAATATAACAGTAAAACCATTGAGAGGCAGTCTGACGTTTGCCAACAATATAATTTTAAAATCAAAACTCAAACTCACACACACATTCTCATTTTCAATCTCAAACAACAACAATTGTGAACAATTTAATTTTTTATTTTCAATTTTATTTGATTTTAAAATGTTGGCAAACGTCAGAAAAAAAGTATGGCCGACGAAATGAGAGGATAAATTTACCTTGTAATGTTTTTATCATGATCGCAAACTCTCATAGTTTGTACTGCAAGGTTACTAATCAACTCAGAAATCGACTTTTAAAAGAACTCCAATATTACGTGTGGCAGAATGCGTTTGGTTAAATACGTGTTGTATAGACCGTGGCTATGGATTTATATACGGTGCAACAGAAAAGGTTCCAGAGCATACCAGGCATCGTAGTAACAACCACGAATGGCGATCACCATCTCGATACTTAATCCCCAGATAAACATCGTTACCTACATCACTGACTCCATGTATATAACATTGTGTCGGTAACGTCGGTAATGGTACGGTACTCCTTCCCCAAGTGATAATTTCCATAAGTCCATAATTTTCTTCAAAGGAATTTTGGCACTTCAGAACGCGATTGACAAGTAGGAGGGAAACAAAAGTTGTGATCGGATTGTGGAACACCATTAAAATTCCGAGTCGGAATTGAATTCCGATTCCGATGCGATTCCGACTCGGTTTGCAGAACAGGGCTGATTATTTTCTTTTTATATAATGCCATGCAGATCCGCACAATTGGTCCGAGTATAGAAGATTCAATGTTAAAGGTAAATAAAATTTTACATGTGATTGCTTTTGGACTACTTACAGTTACCTACACGCTACTTTGTAGTGTGATCTAAATCTATTTCGAGATCCTACAGAGTTGATATCATGTCGAAGATCAAGATCTAAAAATGGGAGAGTATCACAACTTAAAAGCAAGTTATTGATCGTGTAACGTCCGTGTTAGGAAAAAATCGGTTTTTAGAGAACCCTGCAAACCAGGTAACCGCTCTGGATGCACAGATCTACTACATACGTTTATTGTTTTATATTGTGCTAAAATTGTATCTATGAAAGCAGGATTTTAAGAATAGTAAACATATTTTGTCACATAATTCGTACTTCTTTTTTAATTTGGGCCGTATATTTATTTCGTGGCTTCGAGCTGCAGCTGTAGTATTAATAATAACAGTGTTTTCGTGCGGTTGATAAGTATTCATTGTTTCGAGAAAAGAGCAAGCTTTTCTCCCAAAATTACGCGTTCTAGTTGAAAATCATCGGTCTTTGACATAACCTACTTTACAAATTTAAGAAAATGTCTGACCTATAGCTTTAACTGTCATTTCTTATATAAAATTTGCCCCTGATTACGAATATGAAATCAAATGTCAAGAAAGTAGATCAGTTTTCAAGATATAGCTAAATTTCCGTTTTTCTCTTAACTGCCATTGTCTCCGAATGTAGTTAGTCAACTTCGAAGTTCTTTTTATGATACCGAAAGTAATTAAATATATCCTCATTTAAAGTACAAAACCGCGTATCAACAAAATGCAAAACCGCGTATGTGAGGTTGCTTAAATTATTTTCTAGAGAGTAAAAACACTAAAATTTCAAAATGGTTCTTCTTTTTTTAAAGCAAACGCATTTCAGGATGGATGGATAAGGATTGAGCCAAGAGCTTGTGTGAGCGAGTCCAATTTTTAGCAGCAAATGTCAGTTACGTGGTTTTGCAGAATGGCGATACACGGTTCTGTACTTTAAACGACGATATGTACCATCAACTGTGTGCAACACTTCAGCCAAACAGGGTTTAGGAGCTATTAATGAATTTTTCAAGAAGTTTGCATCATTTTCAACAAAATTTCACGAAAACTCAGTGTTTCTGTAAATTACGTCTTAAAAAACATGTTTACTTCCGTTTTCTTTATTAGACGTCAAAGAATGATCTTTTAGGAAGAAACTAAACTATACGATCCAAATTGGATTGAAAATATAGAAGGCATAAGCACTTAAGTCAAAATTCAGAACATCCATTTTTTCCAATGTATCACCAAGTTTATAGAAATGAAAACATTGTCCCACCTGAGATATATTTATATGCCTTCTAATGTAAATTTTTCTGCTGAATGTGAATATGAAATGTAAGATAGTAGATAAGTTTTTGAGATATAGTCGAATTTCGGGTTTTTGAGGTTTGAAAAAAGTGCACTCACTAATTACAATTACATTATATGTAGTTGTCCCACCACGACATTTTTATTTGAATTTTCCGCTGAAACCAAATACGAAATGAAAATGTAAGAGTAGAATAGTTTTTGAGACATAGCTGAATTTCGGGTTTTGAGATCTGAAAAAAGTGCACCCACTTTTACAATTTTCTTTTGACATAGTTGGCCAACTGGAACTATCTTCAATATCATAATTTATTACAAATTAATATGTACCTATAATTATTCTATTCTGTAATATATCACAAATACTTAAATATCTATTCTCATTTGTCTGTAAGAAAAAATTTTTCTGTAGACCAAAATAAATAAATAAATAAAAAGAAATTGGCAAACTACATCCGGAGATAATGGCAGTTTAATGAAATCACTTTTATTCAATACTCGAAAAATGGAAATTGAGGTATATCTTGAAAACTGCTCTACTTTCTTAATATATCAGGACATGGATCACGTATGACGACAATCGTCTAAACGATATCGTGTCGAAATTGTCTTGCTTCATTAAAACCAAAAATTGGTTGATCGTTTCTGCGATATCGTCAACTCGATTCTAGTTTTGCTTCACGTAACAGTAACACGTAACAGCAGCACAAATGCATAAATTAGTGTTTTGACGGCGTAGTTTTGTCAGTATCGTTCCCAAGTTACGTGATTTATGCCTAGATATCATCTTCGGATTCAGGGGCAAATTTTACATAAGGAATGTCAGTCAAATGCCCCAGGTCAAAATCACTGTAAACTAGTGTAATTACTCCATTATAAAATAACTAAATAAGTTACAGAACATAGATACATTTAAAAAGTACAAGTTGTTGAATTGTATTGAAGTTTGGTCTTTTATGTTAAACTTCATTTATTAATCTAAAGAAGAAAAGTAGAAATGATTATCACTGTGAAAAATTTGCAGCAACAGACATTCACTATTCAATTCGACCGCGAAAAGACGGTAAGCATACAATGAAACGGCGCTAAGTGTTTGGGCGAGCTTCTTCATTTCGTTGTGTGCGCTTTGATGACCCACATACGAAAGGGGATTTACAGTTTTATTCCACCTCCCGACTGGCAAACTGCTCAGTTCACCTCTTTAAATGGCAAATTTTCCTAATTTTGGAAGGGTTCCCCTGTGGTCAGTGGAAGGGTTTGCAGGGATGTATGACTATCAATTTTGAACTGGGCTATTCCAAGTTGGTGGGGTTTCTGGAGATACGCCGCGGATTCGATTCAATGAACGGTGACATATGAGGCATTCTTTTTCATATCGGACATCAAATTTTCTGTAACATTTTCCATTTTCTTTAAATTTTTTATGGGTTTTATACATTAAATAAGCTAACGTGTATTCAAGGAATTCTTATTTTGGCAAATGTTATTTCTACAAAGATCTTGCAGTTATATATTACATATATTTTTTTATAAAACGTAGACTTGTCTAAAAGTGTGTGTAAATGTTTTTTGATTTGGGTCACGGGTTTGTACAAATAACTAAACGGTACCCCTTATTTATTTCTTCAAAGATATGATCTATCAGAATTTGGATTTTTCAAGAATCTAAAGAAAGGCTTAAGGCACTACTGCGATCATGATCGTCCTAAAGCTATAGTAGCTATTAAGTGGCCGCTAAGTAGATGTTAGACGTGGCAAGTGCAACTCCTTTTCAAAAGTCTGTCAAACTCAAGAATTTCCAAAAGAGATTGCAGTAGCAGTTACATCTTGCAGGAAAAATGGCTTTCGAAAAAGCAGTTCTTATTTCTGAAAATCAAACTTTCCGATACTGATTTTTTACGCGGTGAATGCAGACAAGTCCACTTGCAACTATGTTACTAGGCTTCTTTATGCTTATAACAAAATAAATGGCCTGAAAAATTTACTAAACCTGCTAAATGTGCACAAAATAGTCACAAAATATCTAATACAGTAATACTTGAATACTCAATATCAGTAGAATAAATTAATTAAACGTATTTTTCATATTTTTAACCGACTTCACAAAAAGCAGGAAGGTTATCAATTCGTCGGAATATGTTTTTATGTAACTTTGGACCACGTTAACCGATTTTTATAACTTTTTTTTTTTAAGCAAAGGTGTTACCCTACAGGTGGTCCCATTGTAAATTTGGTTTAAATCCGATCATTGGATATGAAGAAATTAATGATAATGCTAAATTCGAATATGAGAATTGAAGTCGGTTTTGTTTTTGAATAAAAATTACTTGTATTCAACATTTATATAACTATTAATATTCGTAAAAAACGCGTCACACGGCAACACTCGATTGGTTTGATAGAACTTGCAGCAAAAATGAAAATTAGGCTGACTTCCAAAACGTATCCATACAATGTTTGTATACTGTTATACTGCGGTATTCAAACTGTTTGGATATGCAGAGTTGCGGTTTATTGCAACCCTATACATTGGATATTTTAAATATTCAATACAGCAATAAACAATTTTTCTGAATTCTACATTTTTAAAAACCGATGGTAACCAATAACAAACGAAGCATCTTATTTGTTTCTGATGCTCTGATTGCTCTAGCGATGCGTTTCGATAACTTTTCGGATGCGTTTTGGAAACGTATACATTGTCAGTATTTTGTAGTACGGTGTTTTTTTATTTTTATTTATTTATTTAATCAAATGGAATAAATCCTTACTGACTATAAAACAAGAGAGCTTATATACTACCTAAAATAATTAAGTAGGACAAAACGAACTGTTCCAAATGAGAGAGACGGGTCATATTCAGAGAGCTCATTTAGCTCAGAAAGGGTTCTGAACAAAGGCGAGAACATTATACTTTATACGTATGCAAAGCAACTGACGTTATGGAAGTCTTATTTTTCGAAAGCGATTTGCGTAATTTCAGTTGCAGTGACACCTTGCAATTTTTATTTCTGAAAATTATTTCTGCAAATCTGCGTAAAGGACTTTGTGGCTTTTTACACGGGAAGCGAACCAATTCCGACGGTGAACAACCCGAACATCCTCGGAATAACCTTCTTGTCTGCAAGTACAAAGCCGCAACAAGGTCCTCCAGTCACTAGCCGGTAGCACCTAGGGCAAAGAAAAAGAAACGTTGCTGGAAACGTACAAGGCAATTGGCCGGCCGGTTCTGAACTATGCAGCGCCCGTGTGGTCGCCGGGGAATAGTAGGAGGCAGTGTGCGAAGCTGCAGACTTGCCAAAACAGTGCACTCAGGACAGCGACAGGATGCCTTTTAATGCCGCCGCAACATCACCTGCACGACGAGGCCCATGTGCTCCCCGTTAAGGAGCATAACAAGATGCTCTGCAAGCAGTTTCTAGTTGGGAGCCACAGACGTGGTAACCCAAACAGACCACTGCTTGCAGAAGAGCCCACGCCCAGGCACGTCAGGAGGCATCTCTACGAACTGACGGACGAAGTCCAGAGGTTCATCAGACAACCTCAACACGTGGCAAGTGCAAGTCCTTTTCAAAAGTCTGTCAAATTCAAGAATTTCCAAAAGAGATTGCAGGAGCAGTTAAGAGCCTGTCGGACTTGGCAATGCGTATATTTCGAAAAGCCTGTCAAATTGAGAAATTTCAGAAAGCAATTGTATGAGCAGTCACATCTTGCATGTAAAGTATCTTTCGAAAGAGGATTTTTATTTCCCAAAGGCGAATTGCAGATTGCTAGTGCCGCACGAGCAAGTCAAAATATATTTCCGAAATCGAATTGCGCTCTCTCAATTGCAGTCACAACTATTATTTCTGAAACTGATTTTCGAAATGTGACGGAAGGGTCTTTCTGGCTGTTCACGCGTCGAAATAAAATTTCTCTTTCTCAATTTGACAACGAATGCGTGGAAAAGTTGGAAATATATCCATGTCTGACACGCTCTTTATACTTTGCATGTAAAGTGGCTTTCGAAAGCGGTTTTTATCTCTGAAAATAAATTTTTTCAATACTACTTTTTGTCCGCTTACACTGAATACAGACAAGTCCACTCTCAATTATGTTACCAGACATTTTTATGCTATAACAAAATAAATGACCTGACAAATTTACTAAACCTGCAAGTCTGCAAAAAAGACTTTCTGGCAAACTCAAGAATTTCCAAAAGAGATTGCAGGAGCTTGTCAGACGTGGCAACGTAATATATTTCAGACAAGTCCATTTTCAATTACATATGTTACCATTAAATTTCAAATGTTTAATCTTAATCCTTATAACATTTTTGGGAATGCAGTTTTATGAAGTGCAAGTTTCAAACCCCTAAAAATCCCGTTGATTTTTTTGATTTTTTTTGTGATGGATTTTTGCCCCTTTTTCAATATAATCAAGAATTTCTTTTAATTTAATAGAGACTTTTAGTTGGTGGCATGCAGTTTTTTGCCTAAGAAGACCCCTATTAGAATTTTCGAAAGGAAAATTTTCTAGAATATATCAATCCTCTTACCACCTTCCTAATTTGTCTTTTGTGGGGTTTCTTGAAGTAAGGGTCAAAACGATCCTTTCAGGCGGGTGCTAATGGGGTTTAAATGTTCTACGAAAATATTTCTCATGAATTTTTCCTATATATGTCTTAACCTTTAATTTCGCTCAGGCATTTATTTTAACCGTTTTTTCGACTTTTTTGAAAACTACGCCGAGGCTTCATGCCTTTATGAGATTGGAAATGAAAAGCCTGGGGCGCATGCATATATGTAATACTCCTATATTGGCAGTAAGAGCTAGTACCGTCCGAAAACAATACAGTACAAATATATCAATAAAACCGTACAAAAGAAAAGGAACACGTACGTTTGTAAATAAACATATACACAACACATAAACAAAAACGGCACTCACGTACACAATACATACCAGGAATGTTTCCTAGGGATGATATGCACAGAGTAGTGGTCTTTGAAAGAAACTTCAAAGTCGATCTATACAGAAAGGCGACTTGGAGCACGCCTATCTTGGAGGGACACGTCCAGGCGAGCACTTTACAGTGGTACACGGACGGCTCCAAAACGCCTGAGGGTATTGGAGCAGGAGTATATGGCCCTAGGCTGAAACTCTCAGTCCCTTTGGGGACTTTCCCCAGCATCTTCCAAGCGAAGTCTATGCAATCAGTCTTTGCGCAGAGATTAACCTTCGCAGGAATTATCGAAGGGAGAGGATACTTATACTAAGCGATTGTCAGGCGGCACTCATAGCTCTCTCATCCTTCGAGGTCAAATCCTCTTTAGTCTTGGAGTGCATCGAGAAGCTTAATGCCCTTGCTGTGCACAACACCGTCCGGCTAATATGGGTACCAGGTCATATGGGTGTCAAGGGTAACGAAGTAGCCGATCAGCTGGCCAGGCGGGCGGCTGCCTCGACGCCGGTAGGACCTGAGCCCTTCCTTGCGGTGGGTCCCAGTACGATAAAAGAGGCACTCAGGAAGGAAAACAGCGAACTGAGGGAACAGCATTGGCAAAGTATCTCGGGACTTCGTCAAGCCAAGAGCCTATTAGAGGGGTATAACCCAAAGAGATACAGGCTACTTATAAACCTCCCCAAGGCGAGGCTAAGAATCATAACAGGTATTTTGACGGGTCATTGTAGGCTCAGAGGCCACTTGTTTAATCTGGGGATCTGGTCAAGCGACTTATGTCGCTTCTGTGACTCCGCCAAAGAGACACCAATGCACCTTCTCCTGGAGTGTGAGGCCGTTTCGCGAAGAAGGGAGAGGTGCCTAGGACACATATGGCCAAGTGAAGATCACATACACTCCCTGCCCCCGAGATCCATTCTGAAATTCTTGGAGTCCCTGGGTCTGGATTCAGTGTTGTGATTAGCTCGGGGCACAATAGACCTATTGGTCGCAGTTCTTACCCTACTATTATTCTATTATGCGAATGATTCGCATCATTTTACACATTCGCATTCGACATTCGCATTCGCATCAAATGATACGAATGTTTTGCGAATGCGAATGTGTAGTCCACACTAACG